TGTGGAATCAGCCAAAAGCTGTCCCCAGATCCCCCTTCCTTTGTCCAGCCCCACAGCACTCCCAGCCCACCCAGCTCGGGCCCTTGAGCTCCTCACCGTGTTCGTCGCCGAGCCCCTCGGGGCCCCCTGTCCGCTCCCGTCGCTTCTGCTCAAAGTCCTGCAGCAGAGCTTCTTCCTCCGACAGCTCCTCCTCCTCCTCCTCCTTATTCTCCATGGCACCAGGCACTGTGTCATCTCTTGGATCCTCCTGTGCCTCAGGCTCTGGGGCTGGGCCACTGGGCTTGCCCAGCATCCAGGGGTTAGCCCCACTGGCCCCGCTGGGCACAGGCAGGGCCGTGCTGTCCTCCTCGGGCACCTCACACAGCTCCTCCTCGGGCGGCTCCACCCGCACCTTCTGCATCAGCTCCTTGTTCCTGGCCAGCTGCTCCTGCATGGCCTTGCGGGCCTGGGGGGCACCCAGAGGCTCTAACACAGGGCAGAGACAACACTCCCAACCTTCCCTGCCCACCTCAGCGGCACTCACCTTCCCTGCCTCCCCCCTTCCCCAGGCTGAGGACCCCGTCACAGCATTCCAATGTGTAAATGGGCTTATAAGAGATAGAGAGACTTTATACTATGGCTTGGAGGGACAGGACAAGGGGGAATGGCTGCGCACTGACAGAAGACAGGGACAGATGGGATATTGGGAAGAAATTGCTCCCTGTCAGGCTGGGGAGGCCCTGGCAGAGATTGCCCAGAGGAGCTGTGGCTGCCCCATCCCCAGAAATGTTCAAGGTCAGGTTGGCTGGGGCTTGGAGCAACCTGGGGTAGTTGAAAGTGTCCCTGCCCATGGCAGAGGGGTGAAACTGGATGAACTTTAAGGTCCCTTCCCACAAAACCCTTCTGTGGCTCCATCTCACCTCGAGGTCATACTTAGCCATAATGGCCCTGGAGCGGGCCCATTTTCCCTTGTTCTGGTGCTTGAGGCTCATCCGCTCCTGGGGGAAGAGAAGTATCACACAGAGCTCCCCAAGAAGCAGGGTCCTCCTGAGGGCTGGGGCAGAGGTGCCAAGGCAGCACCTGCATCCTGAGCTGCTCCAGCTCCTCCAGCCGTGCCAAGGCGGCCGCAGGGTCCGATTTGTGCAGCTGCTCAAACTCCTTCAGGGCCTGGCGCCTGCGGCTCTTCTTCAGCACGCGGTGGTACCTGTGGCACAGGGGTGGCGCAGGGGAGGCTCAGGGGCAGCTCAGGGACAGGCCATGGGCGAGGTGGGGCAGCCCAGCCCTCCCAGCACAGGCACAGCCTCACTTCTTGCTCTTGATCCGCTTCGTTCGCCGAGCCTTGGCCTCGTAGTAGGACTGCACTGCCCGCGCCTTTTGCAGCTCTGCACGCCGGCGCTGCGCCTGCCAGGGAGCACAGGGTGAGGGATGGGGAGCACGGGGTGAGGGATGGGGAGCACAGGGTGAGCAGCAGGAGCACGGGGTGAGGGATGGGGCCAAGGAAGAAGCCCCCAGGGCCCAGCAGGGTGAAGCCTCACCTCCTCCAAACTCATGGCCTGCAGTGATGCCATCTCCTCCGGTGTCAGCAGCGGGTCTGTGACAGGCTGCTGTGTCTTGTGGAGCAATCCAAAGATCTCCTGCTCCAGTGGAGTTCGTGCCTGTTGGGACAGTAGATGTGGCAAGAGGATGAGGAGAACTGCAAGGGGCAGTGTCCATCCATTCTCACTGCCCACAGGTAGGTGTGTGGAAGGCCCGGGGAAGCGTCCCCGCCTTGGGGGACTGGGTGGTCACAGCCTCACTACAGGTGCCACACCACAGCCCCTGGGCACCCTCCCAGCCACACGGGCAGCTGGAGGCAGGTGATTCCTCCCATGTTACAGAAATGGCCTCAGCTGCCAGGCAGCACTGGCCAGGTGGCACCACACAAGGAGCACGGAGCAGGAGCTCCAGGCCATGGAGTGCCACGTCCCTCTGAAACACAAAGGGACCTTTGGGCACATCAGTGTGACAGGTTTGTTGGGAGTCCTGCAGAGGCTGCCCCCCCTCACCTGGGCATCTGACAACCCTCAGGGATGGCAGTGGCTTCCTGTCAGCAGCACAACCCCAACTTGCATTCAAAACCAAACACATCCCTCTGTTGTAAGGATTGTTCCCAGGCACACAGGACTTGGCAAACCAATCCCCTCTGCTCAGCCCTTGGGACACTCCCACGTGTCTTGCCCTGAGAGGCTACAAGGAGCAGAGGGGACAGAGCAGGCTCCAAACCCTCTGCTCACACCTTCCCTGGCCTGTCCCAGATGGAATTTACACACCTCACTGTGTGAGGAACACAGACTGCCCTTCCAACCTTCCCGAGCTCAGCCCCAGGCTGGGCCTTCCTCCATCACTGCCCCCAGCACAGCCAGCAGACATTGACTTGCCCCACCGATCCTGGAGCCACCCTGAGCCACCCCAGAGCCACTCTGAGCCACCCTGAGCCACCCAGAGCCACCCCAGAGCCACCCTGAGCCACCCCAGCCACAGTGGCCACCTTCCATGCCGAGGTGACTCTCTCCAGAGGGGTGACGGTGGCGATGTCCTGCCGCAGGGGGAACACCAGCTGCTCCGCACGCCGGTTCTGCAGCACCACCTGCTGCCACTTGCCCACGTCCTTCGAGGTGGTGACGTAGGCGGCCTCCCTCACCACCTGGAGGGCAGAGAAAGGCGATGCCGGCATCAGGGAGGGGCAGGGGGTCCTGGGGGCTCAGCTCAGACCCCCTTGGCTCCCTGCACTCACCCTCTTGGCCTCCTCTTTGCTCAGCGGCAGCTCCACCGCCGCCTTCCGCTTCACTCTGAACAGCTCCTTCCTCACGCTGCCCAGCGTGGATTTGGGATGGATGGGCTGCAGCAGCTCCGACAGAACCAGCTTTTCCCCAGCACCTAGGCACGGGTGTGGCACTGCCAGGTGAGGGAGCTGTCCCGGCCCTCACGGGGCTCTCGGTGGGCAGCCCTGCCCCTGGCTCACCTTTGCAGGTAACGTTGAACTCGGACACCTGCCCGCTCGCCTCCGAGCGCTCCGCCAGCTTCCGCCTGCGAGAGGGACACAGAACAGCCCCAAGGGCTCCTCGTG